GCTGCCTTCCTCAAGCGAAGAAGACCAACCTACTAGCGATGGCCTCCACCCTAATAGCGATGGGATGGCCTCCAACTAACACATGGATTCGCTACTGTTCATGAGTACTGCTTCTGTTCTCTGTTTTTTCCAAAGGAGGCCCCCCAAAAGGTCCCATAGGTCCTTAGATTGCGAATGCGAAGCCAACAGCTGACAACCACTATCTGCCTTTGCAAAAGTCTGACAACAGTAGAAAGTCCAGCATCTATAATCATCCTGTAGAATCAAAAACAGTGGGACACTGAAACTAGAAAACTATCAGCATGGTGCTTCTTTTGTTCCATCCACCTCATTGTGAATCATCATGAATGACCCAAGACCCTTGTAAAGGAAAGAACGGAAGGGGTAAAAGAAAGCACTTGAACAGAAAACACTGCTTCTTCCACCTATTCGTCTCTGTTCTAACTGTTCCTTTCCCCAAAACCTTTCAACTTCCTTTGCAACCCTTCCAGGTCTTCGTGCCTCGTCGATGGGAAGCTCCGCCACGTTGCTCCGCGGTTCGCCGTCGACGTCTCGGCAGCCGCGGCCGCAGCCGCCCACGCAGCGCTCCGAGCCCTTCTCCTTTTCCGCAGAACACGGAGGACAACAAGGAAGCTACTAGGAGCAAGGACGCTACTAGGGGCTCCTGGCCTCACTACTAGCAACAAGAAGCTACTTATAGTAGCTATTTGCTACTTGTAGCAATGCACTTGTTACAGTTCCGAACTCCTTCGGATGAAACGAACAGAACTTAAGAACTTAGAAATGAACAAAAAATATCGAGAACTCGAGAAGGGAATCGCACCAAACACAATATCAACAAGTGTTTTCTTCGTAGCACAGGGCGCTGGCTATTCCAGAGCCAAGGTCATTCGAGGGTTTTGGGTGCGCGGCGGTTCGCCGAGAAAAACAGTTAGAACTAGCAACGACTTGAAGACCAGCAAACATTTGTTTTCTTTTTTTCTTTCTTTCTTTTCGGAATTCCGAAAACTCTTCTCCTTGCAGAACAGTTACTAACTACCAACTTCATGTTCTAAATCACCACCTTCGTCATCATCACCGTCAGCATCACGCGTAGATATCTACATGTATGTAGATATCTGTGTATGCATGTCAGTGTGCACAAATGTAGGTCAGAGATGTAGGTGATAGACCTAGGGAACAACGTGTCGAGTGTCGAGAGACTGAAAGTGCGATTTGGTTGTGCCTGAAGCTGTAGCAAAGTGCGAACTTGGCCATCAATGCATGAGACGGTCGACGAAGTGTGAAGTCAGGAGGGTCAAAGTGTGAAGCTGTCATCGATTTCAATCTTGACGTGGGGCTCTTGGCTCAGAGCTGGCCACTTGTAGTGCAAGTGCATCACTACCAGTAACAAGAAGCTACTAGGAGCTCCTGGCCTTACAACTAGGAGCAAGATTAGGACGCTACTCTCAGAACAGTTACCAACTTTATCTTCCTTACTATCACCTTTGTCATCAGCACCTCCATGTCATCATCTGCCAACACCACCATGTCAGTAGAGATCTAGAATGGATTATCATCTTGAAACATTCCTTATATCACATCTATCGTACTCCTATCATGCTTTCGGGCCCTCCTGGCTGAATGCTGTTCTGGGTTTCGGGAATGATTGGACCCTGCCCAAACTTGCCAAGGATCTGACTCACACCACCACTGACCCGCACCCATGGCACGGATGTTGCAGCAAATGTGAGGCGTTGACTGTTGTCTTGGCCCTCTTGGGCTTGCGGCACCTATCATACCTAGCTTTCTTTCCTTTCCTTTGTCTTGTTGGACTTGAGTCACCAAAGTCACCTATCATCTACCAAAGTGATTCTTATCTATATACCTGACGTGCTACTACTTGCCACTTAGAGATTTCCATCAGATCCTGCTGTGGGGTCTGCGGTCTGCTGTTGTGTCAGGTCCTCACTCAACTCGCTAGCACAGTTTGTCGCATGATGCACACGGTCCACCGTAGAGGAACCCGTCTTGATCCAACGGCTTGGCTGTTGATGGAGAATGGTTCGCTCTCGGAAAAAGCAATGACACAATTCCTTGCTGATTGCAAAACAATGGCACTAGGGCATCGCTACTAGGGGCTCCTGGCCTTACTACTAGGAGCAAGAAGCTACTAGGAGCACTGAACTGTCTAGCCGATCTAGAGGACTAACTAGACCTTGCACTTCGTGGCGGTCCTTCTCGATCACGGCCTCCCGAGCGCGCAGGACTTCCAGCCACTGCCTGAGGTGTCAGTAGTGGCCTCCAACCTAGTAGCGTCCTTGCTCCGTTCGTAGCGATGCCCTTTGTTCCTAGCAGCAAACATTGCTCCTAGTAGCAATGGCCTCCAACTTAAGCCAGGGGAGGAGGAGAGGAACTGGTCACGTCGGCGTCTCCGGTCTTTTTGACGTCGTTCATGGATAAGCAAGCGATGATCGCAAGCGATAAGTCTTTTTCCTTCCAAGCAACAAAGGGCATCGTTACTAGGAGCAAGAAGCTATTAGGAACAAGAATCTATTAGGCAACCTCTTTTTTTGTCGTTCTTGATCTTCTCGGATGCGCATTCTTCGACTTCTTGAGCCCTAAGGATTCCGACTCCTGCATTCGCACTGCAGCGATGCTGGCTACACCAGTGGCATCCTGAAGGGGGAGGACGGAGAGGGAGGGATGGGACAAGGTGACAGAAGAAGAAGCTACTAGGAACAAGTGCCACGCTAGTAGTAACAATTGCCTTACTAGTAGCAACAAGAAGCTACTAGGAACAAGTGCACATCCCAAAGAACATCAACACCTGAGAGGCCTGAGAGAGATGAAGCTAAGACTTACTAAGTAGTGCAAGCACAACACGCAACGCGAAGCCACAATCCTACCAACTACCGTGCAGTGCTAAAATCATGAATAACTTACTCGACCACCGCATTGCCTCGTCATAGCCAGACCTCAGATCCCGAATCCGGGTGAAGCAGGGATTTACCAGTCTGGCACGATGGAACAGAACCTAATTCCACGATGGAACGATGAAAACATGAAACAAACAAACACCAAAACCGCATTCTGTTCCAAGCTGCCTGTCGTTCGTCAATCGTTCAATCACTGTTCTGCCCTGCAGGGCTTCGCAGCACTGAGGGTTCTGCTCAGCCCGGCACTCAGAAAGCAAGTTTTTTACTGCGTTTGAGGTGGAGCGCAGCCAATCGATCGTACCTTGGGCCGGGGTGCTGTAGCATCTGCGCGTAATTGGAACTCTCCCCAGGTCAGCGCGCTAGTGCTGAAACTCACGGGCCACATGCTACTAGGAACAAGTGCATCGCTTCTAGTAACAAGTGCCTTACTAGTAGTAACAAGAAGCTATTTAAAAAAAGAATTCTATTTAAATTCTAATCCTAATTCTTGTTTCTAATAGCTTTTTGTTACTACTAGCAAGGCACTTGTTACTAGAAGCGATGCACTTGTTCCTAGTAGCTTCTTGTTCCTACTAGAGCGACAAGAGCACATAAACACATTGATATAAGTGAGACTGCAGGTGGTGCCGCGACAGCTTCGGTGGGGCAAAAGCCGGGCACTATTCCAAGGTGCCTCCTCTGAGAAGTGAAGAACTCAAACAAAGTTTCAACACAGTTCCCTTCAACAAAATGGAAATTCTCCCGTACAAATTACTAGGTACGTCAACTGCTTTTGGAGAGAAAGGTCACGTTCGCATCGTGCCTCTCCCACGCCACCCACCGGCTGAGGCATCCCCACGGGCGACTGCTGTGGTCTCTTCTTCCTTACGAAGCACCTCGATGGCCGCTTCGATGGCCTTTGTGGCCACTGCGCTCGCTTCGTCCAGCGGAGCCGCTGGCGCTCCATGTGCCTCCACGAGTGTTGCTTTGGCGCTCATCTTCAAAAGTGGAGGAACAATGTTCGCTACTAGGGGCTCCTGGCCTTACTACTAGGAGCAAGAAGCCATTAGGAACAAGAAGCTATTGGGCAAACTCACATCTTCAAGTCAATTGGAGGCCATTGCTATCAGGTTGGAGGCCATCGCTACTAGCTAGGGTGGAGGCCATCACGCTTAGGTAGGAGATGGTAGGAGGCCATCGCTCTTAGTTGGAGGCCATTGCTATCTGGTGCTCAGCAAGTCCTGCCTGCTCTGAGTCAGGTTGAGGCATGTTCTTTGAGCCTTGAATAAATGGCCACCAACATGCTATGGCCTCATTGACAAAATCTAAGCCCACTGAGGTTGGGTATTCGGCAACCGGAAGCGACCGAACGGTCCGACTTCGGTCCTGGACTTCACACAGGACTCAGGACCGGTTTACTTGATTTTCACACAATGAGGATGGTCTTTGCACTGAATTGGATGGTCCTCATTGGCATTCCTGGAGTCTTCACATCCGCTACTAGGGGCTCCTGGCATTACTACTAGTAGCAAGAAGCTACTAGTAGCTGGGACGCTATTAGGTGGAGGCCATCATTCCTGGATTCTTCACACCCTGATTTCACGAAGAATTCCGTCGGGTCTTAATTCATCTTAATTCCGTCGGTGAGTGCAAGTGGTTGACGAAAGGCGTCTTCAGATGTTGCAACTGGGCTTGAGCCTTGCTGCTTTGCTACAGCTTTGCTACACGGCGCTGCATCGCTTTGCCAGGGTGTTTTCTTCGCGCCATTCTTGATGAGGTCAAAAGTCGGAGAAATGGGAACTTTTTGAGCAGTTGCCTCATCAATAATACACCATAACGGTTGTAGCTCTCGTTGCCTCAGCTGCCTCCAGTTTGTGAAGTGCATTGTTCCCGCTCAGCTCGGATGACAAAAGCCTTCGGGCTGAGAAAAGTATCAGGTTCTTGCGGACGCTCTTCACTTAACCACATGAAAGCAAAGGGCAGCAAAAATCGGATGTTGCTGCCAGTGTTGGAGACATGGTCATAACGAAACAACAAACACCTTGGCCTTTAACTGCCTACGCATCATTTCATTCGTCTTTTGGTGCGGATTTCAGGGGGGCATGAGGAGCTTCAAACGCTTTTCACTTGAGCTCTCAGGAGGGTCTCATGTGGATTCGCAAGTGAGACTGGATCCCACAGATCTTGCGGAATGCATCGATGTGCAAGAAAATGCAGCTCACTGATCAGCTGAATCTGGCATCATGGCCTGGAAATCAAATGTTTGCGTTCAAACCCAACAAGGGAAACATGTTTCGTCTAAGCCATTCTAGTACATCTCATGGTTGAAACATGTCATATGAATTCAATCGTGATATGAGGTACGGCCGAAAAATGTATTATGTAATTGTATGTGGCTGTTGCATCGTCATATTTGTGAGTCCCCGATCGTTTTCCACTGCTTTGGAACCTTGTTACTAAAGGGTATCGTTCTTTTTTGTGAGTCTCCCCCTATCGTTTGCCAGGCTTTGGAGCATGCCAACATTTGAGTGCAACGCTCGTATGCAATGGTAATCATCGCACATTTTGAAGGCACTTCATGTCCTATTGACCCTTCAATCCAGTAGGCTCCTGCTCATCGGATCAAGCAGCACTTAGCTGCCTCAGCTGTCCCAGAACCTGTCCGCGCCTCAGCTGTTGGATCTTCTTGTCGCTTGTTTCCACGCAGGTGTTCCAGGCGTTCACGGCATTCGCAGGTCTGTGCATGGTCAGGGCCATGCAACTCCTGCGGATGCGGTTGTCGCAAAGCAGCAGTTGGAGGCTATCAAACACAGGTCCAACTTGTGAAAGTTTCTTGGATGGTTGTAGAACATTTCAGACTTTTGTCAGAAGCATGTACAGTGTCCACCTTCATACGATCTAGAAACTCTGAGCTATGCTTCTGCACCGATGCACAGCAAGTCAAACCGCCAAAGGGTTCAAGGCTTGACCAGTTCAGCGCAACCCCCATGCAGTTGGGGCCTATCACAGTCACGACATCATTTGTGGAAGATTGATGTTGTGACCCACAAACTTTGTGTCAAATAACATCCAATATCTCCAAGCAGCCAAGCATTTACAGCCAAGAAGGCTCTACTTGAAACTTATTTGCGTCCCAAGCAATTCATTTCAGAAGCGCCTTCTAGTGCTCCAATGGCACGCATGTCTTCAAAGGGGTTTGGGCAAAGAACTAGGCTTCAGAATTCCAAACCACCTGCACGCAGTGCAGTTCACTGGTTCGCTCACGAAAGTCCACCCCTTCGGCGCGCCTTCAAGGCGTCCAACTGCCGTTGGTAGAGCTTGTGTGCCTTGAAACCAAGTGGCGAGAGTGATTTTGAGAGGACGCTCCAAGCTTCGGAAAACCACAAGTGGGTGGACCGGAAAGCAATCGGATGCATTTTAGAAGAAACGAAGCATCCGAAAGAACACAGGGCCGAAGAGACTGAAGAGCTGCTGGACCCCCGCCAGCTGGCCTCCTCGGAACCTTTCGCCTCCAAGAGCTTCGCAAGACCCAAGATTGCGTCGAGTGTCCACTGATGTCTGACTCCCAACTGGGTTTCAAAGCCTTCCATCGCCCGGCGGAAGTGCACCTCGCCCTCCTCCAACCGCCCTTGAGCAACGCGGAGGCGGGCCAGGCGGAAGACCGAGCGGAGCGTCTCGGGATGATGGCTGCCCTGCTGGGCTTCCTCACCTTCCACCGCTCGGTGCAAGAGCACCTCCGACTCGTCCAGTTTTCCTTGATCACACAGCAGCGCCCCCAAGTTGGTGGTAGACATGAGGGTCAGGGGGTGCCGGGCTCCAAAATAAGCCTCGCGTCCTTCTAGCGCTCTGCGACAAAGCGCTTCAGACTCCTCATACTTGCCCTGTTCATGCAGCAGAAACGCTAAATTGTTGAGCTGCGTGAAGACTTCGGGAACCACACTTCCTTCCAAAGCTCTGCGATAAAGCGGCTCGGCCTCCTCATACTTGCCCTGGTGATACAGGACGGCCGCTAGATTGTTGAACGTCACCAAGGTCTCTTCGTCCTTCGCTCCCCACTTCGCCTCTCGGGCCTCCAAGACTCGGCGCCACACCGCCTCGGCCTCCGCCAGCTCGCCACGGTTTCGGAGCACCTGCCCCAGCCTCGAAAACGTGGCGTGCAGAGCCCCTTTCGGAGGTCCCCAAAAGCTGGAGAGCCCCAGATGAAGGTGTGTGTTTGAACATAACAGGCCACGTCTCTTGACACGTGCTTGCAACATTAATTTTGAACATGACATCAACCCCTTATGGGTTGCCAGCACCGCGTTAAAGCACCCAGCATACAACCAAAAAGTAGGTCCCTTTTCAACCAACAGAGTTAACTTGTGTTTGGGAAAAAACGACTTTCTGCGGAGCCTTCCCCCCAACACAAATTAGCAAACCTCAAGAAAAGGGACGACACTGTCTTTTGTCGGTACGACCCGACGGAGTACCCAGTATCATATGTCTATGAAATGAGTCCCCCTTAGGTGGCATGGACGTGGGGGTCCCCGAATTCCATTTGTTGGACCTAGGGGACCTTGATTGCATTTATTCGGTTGTACTTTGAATCAGTAAAAATATTAATATTATGAACAATCTTGGTGGCATAAGTGCGCGCAATGTATGGAGAAGCACCGATCCCCCAACGATCAATCGCCTGCCAACTGTTTTTGATTTACTTCGATTTGTGAACCCCCTCAAGCTAACCCCTCTCCACATGCCGTTTTTCCTTTCACCACCGTCATTCTGGCCTTGTAGATATTCTTAATGCTGTCTCATGAGTCTATCAACTGTGTTGCAACTTTGTCACTATACACAGCTACACCGTTTGGAAGACGGTGCCATCCTGGAGTCAGCTCCAGGTGCTTGACGTACTGCTCAAGTTGCCCATCAGTGCAAAGATCCTGCCTGCCTTGTCTTGCCTTGTCTTTGCACTCTCAACTGGTGCCTCCTCAGACTGCACTGTGAAGACGCCGGCTTCAAACTGCAAGGAATGCCTAAAGGGATGTCAACCCTCCCTTGTCTCATGCCTTAGATGTAGGCGTCCATCAACGTTTCCAATCCCTTCTTCAACAGTTTCCCAGCGCAAAGAATGGGGCGCGCATTGCCCAAAACAAATTCGATCTCCTTTCCTCTCTTGTCTCCAACTCGAACCGTGGCCCGTGCGATGCCATCGTGAGCAGTCTTTCGCCCTTGATGCTCAATATAGGAAGAACAAAGACATCTGCTCAGCGTCGAAATGCACTCTCCCTCATAGCCAACTTCTTGGATACGCACCATGTTGACCATGACCTCTTCTTCATCCTGCAGGTCCATGGCCATGATGGCCACACCCTCAGAAACATGCACTGCGGGTTCCTCAAGGTCATAGCGGTCATAGCGCTCCTCATTGTTGTAGAACAGCTCATCACCCTCAGGTCTCACCATCCTCGCGTGCCAACATTGCTGCGCATCACTCTCCTTTCTCGGTGTCGTCGAGTCAAAGATCTCCAACGAAAGAAGCATCTTGACAGAAGCTCGCTGCGCTCAAGATATAGCCCCTGTCTGTCCCGTAGACGATGAACTTGCCCCTCCTGGTTCACTCTCTTCCCACGTTCATGGGCGCAGTGTCCAACCTTGTTGTTCGTCTTGCCACTCTTTGAGCCCTTATCAGAACTCTTTCTATTCCCGGACCTTTGTCCCACGTGGATTTGCCTTTCTCAGGCCTTTCCAGCAGCCATTTCTGTCTCACTTTCGTTTGTCTTTGCCTGTCTCCTTTCCCTTTCCACCTTTTCCTTTCGCTTTGCCAGCCTACTTCTTGCCTTTAGACTTGCCCATGCAGTCGACCTCGATAGGTGTGGCTTCATCTCCTGTGACTCAAGTCGGAAGCACCAAGGAGATTGCGCTGTCCCACTTTGTTGTGACTGCTTCCAGCTGAAAGATGCGATCTTTCAACTGCTCATTTGTGTTGTGAGCTAAAGATGAAGACGGCACAGCTGCAACTTTGGCGTCATCACCGTAGCTCTGTCCAGATTTTCGTTCATACTCCAGAACATTCCAGAACCAAGGACTCAAATTGCGGCAGTTGCTCTGACACAGTCTTCCCTTCAGCAAACTGTATCCTGGGCAACTGGCTGAGCAATGCCCAAGACCTTGAGCAAAGATTGCCACGCCTGGAAGCCGTTCTCATTCTCACATGCCTGATCAACTTCAATGGCCGTTGTGTCAGGTATGCTGTCAAAAGACTGTACAAACAAGACTGCCTTTGCCTTGGCCGCGTCTGTCATGTCATCAATGCTGCAGTCTGCATCGACATTGCTTTCAACCATGAGCTTGCTGGTTGAGGGTCAGCCTCTCCAAAGCCGATGCATCTAGCCTCAGGCTTTCCTCAGCCATGTTCCTCCAACCTCTGATGTCGGGGTAAAAGGTCTTGGTTGTCACCGAAGCAAAGGGTTCCTCACCTCCGAAAACAAATCTAGAATGCACTAGCTGTTCCCAGAAATGCCAGTTGTACACTAGCTCACCCAAATCTTCCGGCGATGTGTTTTTTCTCGACTCCTCAAACTTTCCCAGAAACTTCCACTTCGAGGGAACTACCACAATCACTTCCTTCAGTACTGAGGGGTTCTTCTGCTTTGCAAGGATCACCGATGCTCGAACATGGGGTGTGGATGCACCTGAATTTCACCTTCTCGCTCCTTGGGGTGATTGAACTGGAATGGAACACTGGATCTCCTGCAAAGTCGCCGAACCAGCGCCACCCGCGAGCCCTGCCAAAATCAAAAGCTCTAGCAGCCAAATTGCAGATGCGCTTGGTCCTGCCCTGGATCTCCTCCTTGAACTCGATGGTTGTGTAACCTTCGTCGTCGTGCTCGTAGTGTCGACGTGGGCAACGGAGCTCGGTGCTTACGACCAGAGCTCCGCTACCATGAAAGGCGCGGGCGCAGCTTTCACACAAGCGGACTTGAGGCCTTAAATGGCCATACGCGTACACTTCTCGATGTGTGCACTTCACCTGCATGGATGATTCGTCTCCGGTCCTATGATATCTGACCGATTTTGCACAATCGTTTTCTCGATCCTAAGTCACTATAGAGTCGGTAGTATAATTGGTTTCTAGAATTTTGCTATCAACTTTCAATCTATGTATCAACTTATGATGCTAAAGGTCTGAGCTGCACACCGGTGCAATGCACTGAGGGCATATTCATCTACAAGGCCACGTCTGGTGACTGCGGCTTCAGCACGGCAGCGAAGCCTCGGCACACAGCTTCCATCAGCAGCTCTGGCTGGACAAATTCACTGAAGGTAGTGCTAGAGGTACTAGATCGGCCTTCTATCGCCGCCTGTCCAAAGCATGGTGTCCAAAGTGGCGGGGTATCACAGGGTTTCTTCACGAATGGAACCGATTCGCATCCAAGACTTGCCAAGTGTCGAGATATTGCGAGGTATCCCACGTGTCAAACAGCCGAGGGAGTAGAACTTGTTCGGTGGATGTGCCACTCAAGAAAGAACTGTCGGTGATCTTGTGCCAGAGATTATTCTGACGAGAATTGACTGTGATGATACTACGTAGGCCATACTAGACTAGACTACAAAGGACTAAACGGCTTTTCCATCCCTGTTGTTCTCCCAAGTTCAGCAACCAAACTTGTCACAAGATGTGAAGAGGGAACCTCAAAATGGAACGCTCGGGCGTTGCATTAGAGTGACACCTTTGCAGCCCAGAAGGCCAATTGTTTGGCTTCAGAATGAAGCCCAAGTTGTGTTTGGAGTCCAATGAACAATGAACGGCTTTGCATTGCTCCGTTGAGTTGCAGCTGATTGTGCCTTTGCCTCTTCTTCTACAACAACTTGTTCGAGTTCCGCTGAGGGCTTTAGTTCAGGATGCGCGGGCGAAACAAGCAGTAGCAAGTGTCGTGTTGAGAGAGTTCTGCAAACGTTGGCAAACCAGGACCGTGTCCTTTGGGGATCCTGATAGCAAACAAGCGTCGTCTCCACCAGCACTGCTCTGGCATTGCTAATAACACCCTCCCCTTGTGCTCGCACAACGATACATTCGCGCGGTGGCATTCCAGCTTCGTTCAGGAGTTTTCCAGCGAGGTTCCTTGGCCCATGGGTCAGCCAATTGTTCAAAGTAAATGCATGTAAAAGCTAACTGTGATAAACTAGGTGCCCGACACACCAGCAGGCTTTCCCTGTCCAGAATCCACTAGTAACGGTAGTAACAGGACAAATTAGCCAAATCAGAGAGATCCATAAAGCCTTTCTCAAACAACCCAGCCTGCTCCACCATTTCCGGTGTAGGTCGTTCGGAGACATCGTAGGCTACAGATGCATTGACAAGGATTGGAATGCAAAATTCCACCCTCGAACGGTAGTCCTTCAAGAAGAAAATTGAAAGCATGCGTCCCTAACGAGCTATGCCATGGCATTTGGTACATTGCAATTCGGAAGCATTCACAAGACCAGTAGCAGTGGGCAGCTCAAGGAGCTCTCCTGGATTGCCGCATCATGGCCTTTCAGACCGATATCCTTGGATTTGCTTAAGGAACCGGGAAAAAGCATTCCACAACATGTTACTACCAGTAAGGCACTCGTTACTAGTAGCGATGCACTTGTTTCTAGTAGCTTCTTGTTACTACTAGTAAGGCACTTGTTAC